TGTGAAATGTGCTCTGTATGTTTGTAACTTAAGCCACACAAGTAAAGTCTGAATTCTGCTATCACTACCAGTGTCTTCTATAACACATAACCAACAATACTTACCTGCGCCCGATCTCAATCAATCACTGTGCCCGAGCACAGAGCTGGGTGTAGGGCCAAGCCACACTGTGTCTATGATGTCGAGCCTGCAAGTCTGCCCCCATAGCAAGTGTTTGCTATGGGGCAGACACTGAAGAGGAGGAGAGAGCGCTGGCAGGGGAGCCCAGAAGAGAAGGATCAGGAATGCTCTTTGGAAAACCATTGCACAGAGCGGATAAATATAACATGTTTGTTATTTAAAAAAAAAAAAAAAAAAAAAACAAACTTTAACATCATTTTAAGTTAGCCAGTAAAGGGTATCACATAAACTCTAAACCTTCTGCAATAACACTGTTCAACAAATTTTTATTTTTTTCCAGTTTTGGAAACAAAAGGATCCATTTCTTAATGAATTTCACATTCTGAGTTCAAATATAACAATGAAATTTGTCAATTGGCTCTAGTTTTTCTGTAAACTGAAAGTTTTCTACTATAGGCGTAATGACTACATAATGCACAATAATTATATAGATAGATGTCTTTCCACAAATATAAAGCAAGTGATATTGACTACATAACAAAGCCTAAATTGCATAATATATTGCATAGGATTACCAAGAAAAATTATAGCCATAAGCTAAGTTGAATCATTTTAATACTTAGGATTCTCACTAGTTTTGTCTTCAGTTTGTGTCGGTTTTGCTTCTCTTGGCTTTTCTCTTGTATTCGAGGAAAGGACTATCTCTTACAACTGTCCAGCAATAGTCAGCAAGCATTGATGGGCTCCATTTACCTTGATATCTTCTTTCCATAGCTGCAATGTCTTGATGGAAGCGCTCTCCGTGTTCATCACTCACTGCTCCACAGTTTGGTGGGAAAAAATCCAGATGCGAATGTAGAAAATGAATTTTTAGAGACATGTTGCAACCCAGATTTCTGTAAGTCTGGATGAGTTTTTCTACCACTTTCTTGTAGTCTGGTGTTTTATTTGTTTCCAAGAAAATTTGATGTCACTGATACAAATGCTGTCCAGGCAGCCTTTTCCTTTCCACGCAACAGAGAAAGAAACTCATCATCATGAATAAGTTTACGAATCTGTGGCCCAACAAAGACTCCTTCATTTATTTTTGCAGCACTAAGTGCTGGAAATTTGCTAATCAGGTACTTGAAACCTGCTTTATTCTTGTCCATTGCCTTAACAAAGTTTTTCGTTAATCCCAACTTGATGTGTAATGGAGGTAATAAGATCTTATTGCTGTCTACAAGTGCTGGATAGTTAACATTTTTTTCTCCAGGCTGCAATGACTGGCGTAATGGCCAGTCTCTTTTGGCATAGTGCATTTCTCTCACACGACTGTCCCACTCACAGAGGAAGCAGCAGTACTTAGTATATCCACCTTGAAGTCCAAGTAGGATAGCAATCACCTTCAGGTCACCACAAATCGACCATTGATGTTCATCATAGTTGATGCACCTTAAAAGCTCTTTCAAGTTTTCATACGTTTCTTTCATTGAAACTGCGTAAGCAACTGGAACTGACGGCAGCTGATTGCCATTATGGAGCAAAACAGCTTTAAGACTCGCCTTTGAAGCATCAATGAACAGCCTCCACTCATCGGGATCATAGCATACGCCGATGGCTGAGATTAAACCATGAACATTGTTACATACAGCAATATCACCTTCCTGGACGAAGAATGGGATCAGATCTTTCTGACGATGACGGTAGAAAGACGTACGAACATCACTTGCTAGGAGATTCCACTGTTGTAGTCTTGACCCCAAAAGCTCTGCCTTGTTCTTCGGAAGATCCAGGTCTCTGATAAGATCGCTCAATTCCACTTGTGTAATGAGGTGTGGTTCAGTGGGTGTGGATGGAAGAAAGTCTGGGTCATGTGAGGTTGACGGTTGATGACTACACGCTTCAGGTTCTTCCTCACTTGACTCAACCACGAAGGATTCTGGTGCTTTAGGAATTGGTAGCCCCTCTCCATGAGGAACTGGACGTATTGCCGATGGAATATTTGGATAGTGCACAGATAACTTTTTCTTCTTATTTAGCCCTTTTACAATTGGAGGCACCATACAAAAGTAACAATTACTAACATGATCTGTTGGCTCTCTCCAAATCATTGGCACAGCGAAAGGCATAGATGCCTTTTTTCCATTCAACCATTGCTCCAGTGCCGTCCCACAAGAATTGCAGCATATATGTGGTGCCCAGCTCTTGTCCTGGTCTCCTATCTTGCAGCCAAAATACAAGTTGTAGGCTTTCTTAATCATTCCTGTTATCCTCTTTTTTTGTGAGATAAAAGTTATTTCACCGCAGATATAGCAGAAATTATCTGCTTTATTCACACAAGTTCGAGGCATTACTGAGTAGCCTATATAAGCATAAAACGTAAAATGTAAATACAATCAGCTACAGATACTGCAGCTTTTATGCAGTGAAGTGATGCAATTAATGGCTAATATTGCATCATCCCAGTATACATGCAATTTTCTATTGGTCACCAGTATCAATTGCGCAATATGCAGCTGAAGTTGCATCATAATTTTGAATGGCATACGTCATTAGATGGGTGAATATATCATGGAAACTAGAACCAATCAACATTTTTTAGGGTCATTTTCGTTTTCAGCACCCCAAAATTATGTAAGATTAGCTAATTTTATGCCCAAAACTTTTTACCTGTTGAACAGTGTAATCGATGGCTAACACAGTACAATACTCTAACACCCTTTCATGACAGGCTCAGTTTTCTGTAGGGTAAGGAACAATAGAATACCGTCTGTGATACCTTTTTTGTATTTTCACGACAAGCTTTTGGGGTGTATCCCTTTCTTCAAAGTCCGACCAGTACTAAGTCCTCATGCACACTTGACATTTTTACAGCTGCCGTTTTTGGCTTTTGACATTTTTTTCTACAGCCAGTAAAACCCCCCCAGCATGTTATCCTGTGTGTCCATGCACACAGACTGTAATCAACATTTTTTGGCTGAAAAAAACCCCCAGGATTAGTGGGTTTCTGGAGGAGTTTTTTTAGCTGTAAAAATGCTCTAACGCTGAAAAACATGGCAAAACTCCGCAAACTAGCGTTTTTGGAATTTTTTTTACCAAAAAAAACCCACCAAAAAACACAAACGTGGGAAAACGCCACTAAAACACTAATGCGAAACGCTTAAAAAAAGCTGAAAAACTCACATTTTTAACGTGACTTTACACAGCTAACATTACCAGCATTATCAAAACGCCCACTGTGCATGGAGCCTAATACACAAAGTTTTAGCAGAATGTTAAAAAAAGAATCTCTGAGTGGAAAAAAAACAAACAAAAAGCAAAACAAAAACACAGCAGTGGTATATGAACTGACATAGTTAGTGAGATAAGACAGAGAAAGAGACTGGGGGGGGGGGATTGGACAGTCACAGAGGGGGCTGTAAAACTGTTGATAGTTCTTCAAAAAACCCAGGTCTAGATTTAGGCCATTATCATTCTTAATTCAAGGGTTTTCCTTTCTTGAATAATTTTGAAATTCCCTTTAAGAACAAAGATACTGAGGTCTTCCATAGTCTGCTCCAGAAATGATGTCCCACAGGTGTGCAGAAACTATCTTCCCCTATGCTCCTTGATAATGTGATTGTTCAAATTTGTACTTGTTTATAACTTAATCCTAATAACATTGATAACTCTGCCTCCAGTAATGTCACCAACCACACCTTAAAATATCACCAAAACTGTCCACCCACTCTTCCCAGGACCTCCTGCTCTCTAGCTCCCTAGTCACTTTTTACTATACACTCACCTCCAAGACTTTTCCAGAACCTCTCCCATCATCTGGAACTCCCTTTCCCAATGTTTTCAGCAATCTCCTACTGTGTCCACCTTTAGGTGATTCCTGAAAACTCATCTCTTCAGGAAAGACTATCCCACCTGAACCTAAAAACTGTACTTCTGTACCTTTTATCAGCTCATCCCTAACAGTTTTTTTATTTTTTGTTATCACTTGCCCCTCCTTTTCAGAGCATCGTCTTCCTGATGGTTTTGTATGGGATTGAGCACATCATCAGAGGGGAGGCCTCCCATCTGCACGAAAGGCCTAAAGGAGGAGTCAACAGAGCGTGACGTCACAGCCGCCCGGATCCACAAGGAGGCCCGGCAGCCATCTTTACTAAGGGGTCAGTACTACTCTTCACTATTACAGTTATATGTAGAGTGTATACTACCCTGGTTTTTTTATATGCACCCTTTGAATAAAGTCTTTTTAAATACTACACTATGGGCACCTTTTTGGCTCCCATTGGAGCGAATTGATTTCCAGGACATCTGACTACAATCCACTACCACCAGAGGGAGGGAGCTCTGTACCCAGGCTGTGCACCTGTCCAACCTTAAGGGGACCTCTGGACCTAGCAGTTTAATCTTACCAAGACAAGATAACCTACCTTTAGATGGAAGCTCACGTACTCCGCCTTCCTAAGTGATCCGGGTGGATATTGATTACATGCGCAATATTTATGCGCGTCCAGTGAGTGCGCACTTTTACTATTTGTTACTGTCACAACTTGCCTTGGTATACTGCTACAAGTGGATCATCTTATATATTTCATGAAAGGTTCATTTGTGCTTCTAGATATCTTATGGGACATTTATTACTCATTTATTATTCATTTATCATTCATTTATACTTCTCACATTCATTGCTATTACTTAGCGCTGCACTATACTTTAATTATGTATATCTTTTAAAATTATGGAAACCCTATGAACAGTGTTTTTTTTTACTGCTATTACATAGGGAATATAAAATACACTGAACACCTAGCATAGTTCTGTTTTAAACATTTAAGTTGGCAGCCTTAAGCTAAAGAATCACAAATAAAGCATTTAGCAATTTAAAAGCATAAAAAGCAACACACCTGTTGGGCCGGTTGTCTTCTATGTATGTGGTACATGTTTTCTTTTTAAATAACTTGGGGATCCAGCTCTGCAGAGACACAAAACAGTACAATTAAGAAGAGGAAGAAACCAGTAAAATGCTTATCACTTGTGTATGAAAAAGCTAAAATGGATATCTAATCAAAAATAACTTTCCTTTACTGTATTCATCTTTAGAGATGGGACATTTATCATCAGCACTGGCCATGTGGTCTGCACTGTTTTTTTGTGTTTGGAAAAGTACTAAAAATAATTTTTAGCATTTGTCTTTTACTTAAGAATATCCCTAAGTGATGATTACAATAAAAGGAATGTTTATTTTTATTTCTCAGGTAGGTTTTAAATGTTTAGTATTTCATAGACCTATGGCACTGAAATAATCTGCTACTGCTTTGCCTACATCCTATGTGCAGTCTGACTTTTCTGATTTGCATATTTTATCTTGATTTATACTTTGCAACCCCATGACACAGCATTCCAGATTCTGTGGGACTGTTCTGAAATATAATGCTAATCTCAGCATCCCACAGATCATGCCCTGGTGCCGAGTGCTGTAACACTCATTCCAGAATCCAGCACAAAATCTGTGCAGATGCTGATGGGTGGAGTGATCTTCTTTCCGACAGCTTTTGCATAGATCTGGCACCGATTCATTGCAGAAAGCAGCCAATGATACAAATTTAAAGGGAAGATCTCTGCCACTGACACCAATTTAAGTGGAGAGGATGTGTGACACAATTTAAAGATGGTGAGATTACGGTCACGGATACAAATGTAAGGGGGGAGGGGTATAATTTCAGTTACATAGTTAATCTGGTTGAAAAAAAAAAAAAAAAAACCAAAAAACACGACACTAGTCCATCCAGTTCAACCCAAAAAAAAAAAAAACCACCACACCTCACACACACAAATAGAAAACCTCCATATACACTACCATATACAGTTTATCCAGAGGAAGGCAAAACCTGATACAATTTGCTGCAGTGGGGAGAAAACAATCCATCCTGATCAATGAAAGTATTTAGCTATTTGGCTACTGATGCCAAATTCGCTAATATAAACTTGCTAAGCATTCCCACACCTATTTTAATTACATCATTTAGAGTAAACTTAGATTGTCTATATTTTGTTTGCAAAAAAAGCAAATGTAATGAAAGTTTTGTTATTTGAAAATGATCCTTGGTCCTGACATTCGGGCGCGTCTGTGGGAATCTGGCAGTATTTAACAAGTATTCTGTAGGTACAAGGACTGCACCATATGTGTGCAATGTTTAAAGTGGGTAGGCGTGGACTATTTAATTGCACCCCTTTAAGCCACATCTAATATTCATCTGAATGAAGGCACTCCCCAACTTTAGAGTGCACAGCAAAAATTGGAGGTAAGAGAAAGCACTAAAGACAGTGAGTCAGTATCTATTAATCAAAGGAGGTCAACAATGGCAGCCTTCACATTTCTCTTGATTTTGGAATCATTATTCCATTTAATTCAGTATTTGTCAGATACAATTGAGTTTTGCATAATAGTACCAGATGTGTTGTCTAATTTTTGTTTGATCACTTTGAAATAAATAAATATATCTTAACCAGTATTAAAGAAATATATTTTTGCTATATATTCATATTTCACAACATGTGCATTATATCAGAAAAAGTAAAACACGATATCTTTTCTATATCATCCATCTGGTAATTTCATTCATCCAATAAATACTGATCGCAAAAATGACATAACAGTAAATTTGAGACAACAAAATGTTATAGTGGTGCACTGAAATGAAGATCCTGAAATGGACAGTTTTTAAAAAAAAGAAAAAAAAAAAATATATATATATATTTTCTATATAATTGTATTTTATTTGACTTTAATTATTATTATGAATTTAAATGAATATGAATTTAAAAAATACAATCCCGTAGCGTAAAATAACTTTTATTGACAGTAACACGAAAAAAATCGGACAGAAAATAAAATGAAATATGTATAAAATTAAAAAAAAAAAAAAAAAACCTTAAATAGGATGTGTTTTTGCACTGAAGCCAGTGGGACATGACTTTGCATTGAAGTCAATGGGACACGATTTTGCACTGAAGTCAATTATCATCAGCACCTTTTTTTCCCCATGTTAACAAAACACAGATAACTGTATTTTTGGATGATAATTTTGGGCTGCTGATATAACAGTGCGTGTTACAAGAACATTTTTTAGAGACCATTGTAAGGACAGTACAGCAAACTCTACGCAGATTTTTTCTTTTACCAATGTTGTTCAGATCAATCAATGTACATACAATATGGCCTAATTTGTATGTTGTATCTGATAATGTTCAAAGCCATCATGGGCTAGCTAGCAAGATGTAATAATGCCTGGTCATAAGTGGATATCTGTTGTTCACTCTCAACATTTGACTGCATGCTTTATATTGTTTCAAAAATAATAATTTCCTTTAAAAACATTATCTGAAACCATGATCATTGTGGACTGGTAATCGGTGGCCAACAGGCCTGCTAGATTTCAGAAACTAGCTAATGCAACATTATTGTTGAACGATAACTACCTAAAAGACAATAGTTTGTCTGGCAGTGTGGAAAGTTCATATACAGTAAATGCTGGCAGATGAATTATAATATCTCGTGAGCACTGCTTGCATGCTCTTTAAAAGATCCATCTTCATGAATGTTGAATGTGTGTAATAGCAATGGCCAATGCAGGGGCGGACTGACAACTCATGGGGCCCCCGGGCAATAGGGGATCATGGGGCCCCTGCGTCCTTGCCCAAACTTAAAAAAACCTATGAAAAAGGTACCAGGGGCATCTCATGGGGCCCCCTACTGACCCCGGGCTCTCGGGCAGTGCCCGAGTTTCCAAATGGTCAGTCCGCCCCTGGGCCAATGTATGTTACATGTTTGCCTAAAATGTTTAAGGAATAACTTCATGAAACAACAATGCAGGTAATAGTTCTGTTCTTAACAGACCTTTCTCATGTCTACTGCCACGGTTAGGTCATTAGAAAGCTAAATAACAATGGTTTGTTTTGCCTACTGCTGGAGCAAAGCTTCAGAAGTTGAAAGACATTGAACTTGAGGGACATCAGTTGAGATTTAACTCCAGTGAGCTTGTAAATGTCTCCAGTGAGGTGTAAATGTCTTCTAAATTCTAAAAAAAACACATTCACTAATGTGACCAAATCTTTAACACAATGTTCTATAATATGCAAATAACCTTTTAGGCAAAATATTTTCTCATATAGCAAAAATGTCTATAGACCGTGAATAATTGCATTCCTGTCTCTCCCTTTAAAACAAAAATCTGCATGATTATGAAAAGTTATAATCACTTCAGAAGGCATATCTTAACAGACTACATTCTTCTGCAAAGAGAAAAGATGAAAAAATATTTGCAGATAAGCCCATAACTATGTTTAACAGAACATGAGATACACAATGTGGGTCAACATCAAAAGGTAGAGCTTGCAGCCAGGTAGTCCAGACCCTCCAGTATGTTTACAGGCCTGCTGCCAGAGTTTGTTCGTCACTGTGGCATCAAACACAATGCAAAAGAATTTTACTTGCAGGGGATGGTGACAGCACAATCCATTAGCCAACAAAACATTCAGCCTCCTAGCTATTTTTGACACATGGGCCATCTTAGGCCTGCAGACTGTTCCAGCATAGCCTGCATGCAGTCACTCTTTCCAAAACACATCAAACTGCTCATTTCAGAGAAAACTAAAATTATGCCCAAGTGGGGGGTAAAGGATGTGGCCAGAGCTGAACTGCCTGACATCTGATAGACAGACCTACCAGGCAAAACCCCACAGTCTAGATCAGTGGTCTCCAAACTGCGGTCCGGGGGCCAGATGCGGACCTTTGCTTGCTTTTATCTGGCCCTTTGGGTACTATTCCTTCCATTGATACCAAGAATGGAGAATAATCCCCAACCCCCCCCAACACCATTGAAGGGGTACAATTTGTCACAATGACACCAACGATGGGGCCCAGTGACGCAAATGATGGGGCACAGTTTATTCTAATGACAAACGATGGGGCGGTTTTCCTTCCACTGACACCAAGGACCTTTTCTACTCCCACTGGCCACAGTCCAGACCCCCTAATGTCTGAAGGAAAGTAAACTGGCCCTTTGTTTAGAACGTTTAGAGACCCCTGGTCTAGATGGCAGGTAAACCCCATTCACAACTCTGCCCTAAACCCAAAAAGGCTGTTTACCCATGCATCCTGTTAGAACCTGTGGGTTCAAGCTCAAACTACCAGTGGGCTTTAGAGAGTGCATCTGCATTTTTCTGATCAAACCCATTCGATCCTAAACCTTAAAGCAGTATTAGCCCTGGTTCACACTGAATGCAACTTTGAAATCTCGCTACTTCACTTGAAGTAGCACAATTTCAAAGATGCAAATCAGTGTGATTTGTACCACTGATTTCACTATGGCTTGCGACTTCATTCCACAGAAGTCAATGCAAGTCGCAATGAAATTGAAAAAAAAAAAAAAAAAAAAAAGTACTGCAGGAACTCTTTTAGAAACCGTGCTACTTCAGATCACACTGATTACGACAAAACAGTGCCAGAGAAATACATTAGATGCGACTTCAGGTGAAAAAACGCATGTCACACCTGAAGTTGCATAGGTGTGAATCAGGGTTTAAATCCAAAACCAAAAATGTAATATATTGTAGCTTACCAATCATTAGATGTGGCGGCTGTATTATTTTTTATTTTTATTTTTTTCCCCTTTGTTTTCCCCTGGTGATCTGGCCAATAGCACACCTTCTGTACTATGCAGGGACCACTCTAGATAAAGGAGTACAGGAGGCACATTTATAGCAGAATTGTCAGTCTGGGGGGAGGGGAGTGTTAGATGTACTAGCAGATTTAAATACAGTGACAAATTGAAGCCAAACTCCAGATAACAGTTTATAATCAGTTACAGCAAACAGTTTTTTTTCCTTTTGGGATACAGGTTTTACATAAATAATTAAAAGCTGATCATTTTAAACATCCCTGTCAGTAAAAATGGTTGCAGCCTCTAACTG